TCAATAATGTAATTGTTCTTCAAATATTCTTCTATCGATGATTAATGAAATGCAAGGCATTTTTATCATATTCATTATCTTGTTTACTATAATATGTAAAAATTAACTCAAATGGGTACATAGATATGCGAGACTTTATACTATTCAATTAGATGAGTCGCAAACAAATGATTCGTAAAGATTTCAAAACAAACCATTAAAAGTATTCCTTTTTTTTAAGAGAAATTATTTTTAGATTCTTTTTATATTTGCACTTCTTTTTTATAGCAAAAATTAAAACATAGGTCAATTCAAAAATTCTGTTCTTCCTAATGGAAAATTTCAAAGTTCTTTAAATAAACTATCATTTCCGTTTACAAATATTTTGCATTACTATGAAAATTATTATTATTATTATCTTTGAAAATCGTAACAATCGTATCAAAAATAACAACAGTCATTGATAAATAGAAAATAAACATAGACTTCCAGTTTTTGTAAAATAGGTTTGAACAAATTTTGAATTTGTATGTGTGCACATTGGTTATTAAAAAATAGTATCTCTATGCTATTAATCTTTGATTAGATTGAAATATGTCTGTTGGATTTAACAGAAGAGCTGGAAATACGAAGACTTCATTAAATCAGTCATGCATCTTAACTGTCTGTCCATTTTTATCATTATTTTCTTCACAATTTATTTTTAAAACGAATAGAATTCGTACTGTGAAATGTGCATCAACAGTTTTTCTTCGAAATTGTGAATAAACGATAATGTATATATGGTTTTAGAAGAACTCTTCTGGTTTTCTCCTCTTATTATATTTAATCTTTTGTTTGTTATTAGTAAGACACATATGCATCAATGCAACATTTTTAGAATGTGAATTAATGACTTGTAAAGCTTTCAAAAGACATAATTAAATGGATTCTAGTTCGTTTCTTTTCAGGGAAGAAAACATATCCGCTCTTTTGTAATTATATTTTAACGTGTTAAAAATATTTTTTCAAATGATCATTTCGATAATAGTGACCTAAGTAGTTATTTGTAATCTTTCGGCATAAACTTTGAAATGCTTTGATGTAACTATTGTAACAGAGATATCAATGTAATGGTATGATAATAGAACGGAACAAAAGAATAGTCGCCTTTCGCAAGAGACCGAGCATTGCGTCTTCCACTTTTTGGGCAGCTACACTAGTACTATATTGGAAAGGGTGTTCTCTATTCGTCTTATTACCGAGGAAGAATACTTCGGATATAACGGTAGTAATTAACATTTTAGAACATAAGAGTATTTGTACAAGAGGGAAAAAGAAAATTGATAGCTTCGGATAAGATATTTGAGATATCACTCTCAAAATAGAATTAATTAATCAATAATGAATATGTAATGAAGCAAAAATGTTAAAACCTTTAAATATTAAGCTGAATATTTAAAAGATATCGATCGACATATATCAAATACTAAGTGAAACTGAATGACGCAACTGAATAATCAAAAAAGACTTGGTT